TGAGATATCCTAAGAACATTTTACATCAAATTATAAAAGTTGAGGTGCACCTGACCTCTACAGCTACGGATGCATCCGTATGCCAACTGCACCCTTTATTTATATGGTATGGTTTGCATAAGGTTGTAAATTTAAACAATATGATTAAGACACACCTTTAAATTTGATCTTAAATGTAATTTTGATATCAAAATTTTTAGGATGGCTTGAGAATCTATTTACATCTTTAATTATAAAATTTTATATTTTAAAATGATTCAAATTAAGTAGATCTATAAACACATGAAAATCTTGAAAATGAACGGTCCAGATAATGTGTTGCAAGATACACTATTTTGTAGTCTTGAAACATTTATTTCTTTTTATATTCATACATCTTGATGTTGAGATTATCAATTAAAAGGTTTTCCTACATCTAAACAACCTTTTATGATGGATTTTTGAGATGCATATTTAATTCTACATTTTAAGATTGCGACCTTATAGAGCACATCAATGACACACCTCCACTTGCCCAATTTCACATCTAAAGAGAGAGGGGGGGTTAAGAGAGACAAACACACCTCCACTTGCCCAATTGCACATCTAGAGAGAAGGGGGGGGGGGGGGGGGGGGGTGTAGAGAGACAAAGAGGATGGTTACATCACATGAGAAAGAAAGCTCTTTTGCATGCCCCACTATGCACCAAAATCAATTGGGACCATGATCAATGTTGGCTATTGTTTCAAAATCAATGGGTTGTCTTTCTTTAGGTGATTAAGAGCCTTTCTTACGTTCTAACGAATTGGTGTTTTAAAACCCGGCGGTTTTTTATCCAGATCACCAATTTGGATAGAAATACGTTGGTAGCAACCGATTCTGAGATGGTGTGGATCGCTTGATTCCCCCAAAACGCGTCCCCCCCTCCCCTCCAATTTTTTTTTGTCTATTTTTTTTAAGAATTTCTAAATATTTTTTCAGGTCCTTTTGGATCTCAACTCCATAAGCACCTATTTTTATTTTTATTAGATGTATTGATTATTAATATTTTTTTTATTACCAATTTAAACGG